TGCCAGGAGGCCTGCAGTTTGTCATTTTGGACTGGCTTCAAGATTAACACCTTTTGTCCTATTTGAAAACTGCGGTCTCTGGCTCCCCTATCGTACCATCTGCGCTGTCGTTGCTGGGCCGCCTGGAGATTAGACCGTACCGTCTGGATTAGGGTCTCCAAGCGTTCCCTGAACTCTAGTACATATGGGATGATAGGGGTACTGTTACTGGTGACCGTTCCCTCCCAGTGTTCCCTAATGAGGTCTAAGGGACCCCGCACTCTCCTTCCGAATAGTAATTCGAATGGCGAGAACCCCGTGGACTCCTGGGGTACCTCTCGGTACGCGAAGAGCAGATGGGGAAGAAACCTTTCCCAGTCCTTCTGGGTATCCATGAAGGTACGGAGCATTTGCTTTAAGGTTGCGTTGAACCGTTCACAGAGCCCATTGGACTGGGGGTGATACGCTGAGTTTACAATAGGTTTCACCCCACATGTTCTCCATAACTGATGAGTGACTTCGGCTGTGAATTGGGTACCCCGATCTGAGATAATCTCTTTGGGGAACCCCATTCTGGAGAATATCCGGATTAGGGCATCTACTATAGTCTCCGCATGGATATTAGTTAGGGCTACGGCCTCTGGGTACCGGGTGGCATAGTCTACTACGGTTAGTATATACTTCTTCCCTGACGGGCTGGGTTTTGCTAGGGGTCCTATTATATCTACTGCCACTCTACTGAAGGGTTCATCTATTATGGGTAGGGAGTGCATTTTTGCCTTGTACCGGTCCCCTCTCTTCCCTACTCTGTGGCATGTGTCACAAGTTTGGCAATACTGCCGAATATCTTTGGAGACCCCTGGCCAAAATAAGTTTTGGGTCAAACAATGCTTCGTCCTACTGACGCCTAGATGTCCTGATAAAGGAATGTCATGGGCAATACGCAGTAATTCTTGCCTGTACTTTCGGGGCACGACTAATTGTGTGAGGGTCATGGGTACAGATCCTGCTACTACCTTCTCAGCATATCTATACAATAATCCTTTCTCCCAAGCGTATCTTTCCCCCTCCAACCCTGCCTGATTCTGTGTAACCCTATCCCGGTATACCTGCAGGGACGGGTCGGTGACTACTTCAGTACCAAATTCTAAGGGGGGAGCCCAGGGGACGAAAGGTGGGTCAGTACTGTTACTTACCGGAGCCTCAGAGTGTTCAGAAGATGCGGTGGTGCGGGCCTGCTGCCGTGTTACCACGGGTAGCGCTTCCTGCGCGGGGTGCTGAGAAACAAAAGCGGAGGTCAGCTCCCCCAAGTCGTTACCCAGGATGACATCAGCTGGTAAATCCTGCATGAGGCCCACTTCCACATTCCCCGACCCCGCTCCCCAATCCAAATGTACTTTAGCAGTGGGAATTTTGTAAATCGCTCCCCCTGCCACCCGGACTGCCACATATTCTCCAGTGAGCTGGTGCTTGGGGACTAGGTCATTGCGAACCAGGGTAATGGTGGCCCCAGAATCGCGCAGACCCTGAAGGCGTTTTCCCTCTACGTGTACCCCTTGGCGGTGTCCCTGTCGGTTGTCTGCAGCTGCTTGTACTGGGTTAACCTCGTGGAGGGTGCCCAAAGATTCTTCATTAGTCTGGGTCCCGAAGAAAGGTTGTCGAGGCTCACTCTGGTAGCAGTGTACTGCTGCCCAGTTTGCAGGGGAATTAGTTGGAGTATTCCACGTGCAGCGGTTTCTGTTTCTGGGACAGTCTCTCTGCATGTGGCCCTGCTGGTTACACGTGTGGCACCTGATGAAAGATCGGGCATTGTTGTACCGTGGGGTTTGGTAGTTCCCACCACCTGGACGCAGTGCTGGGGTGGGGTTAATGGTGGGAGGTGGGTTAGCAGCTCCCAAGATGGACCGTGCCTGTGCCCGCTGTGCCCTCCTGGCATCTTGGTACTCGTCTGCCCACCTGGCGGCGTCAGTTAAGATGCGCGGTTTCCGATCGCTCAGCCAGTTTTGTAAATCCGGGGTTAACCCCTGGAAGAATTGCTCCAGTAGCAGTAATTGTAGCATGTCCTCCACTGTGGTTGCTTGTGCGGCTTGCACCCAACCTTTGCCCGCCCTAGTTAAGCGGTGTGCCCACTCCATGTGAGTATCTTTCTCTGTCTTTCGGCTTTCTCGGAACCGCTGCCGGTATGCCTCCGGGGTAATTGCATACCTGTCCAGGATCGCCTGCTTTACTTTCTGGTAGTCTCTGCTATCCTCGTCTGGCATGGTGCGGTAGGCTTCTGCTGCCCGGCCCGCTAGCTTAACCACCAACAGGGGTACCTGGTCGGCGGCGTTGATCTCATGTAATTGGCATAACCTCTCAAAGTCATGCAAGTAGCCATCAATGTCTTCGGTCTCCACATAGTTTTTAAAAGCATGGTACGGGATTTTAGGCTTCCCCGGTACTATGTGTGGTGTGATTAGGGACCCCTCTCTGGACCTCCGCTCTGCCCGCTGCTTTTCCATTATGTATTCGTGGACATCTGCCATAATCCTTTCCAAGGTTTCTGTGGGAGGCGTACCTGGGAAAAAGGCCAGTCTGCTTTGGAGTTCTCTTCCAAACTCATTCTGTGTGCTGTCCATAAGAGGTGCTGCAGCAGCTGCCCGGTCTCCCTCCATGAGTTCAGCAATAAGGGTAGCTTTGGTTTTATTGCTGGCAATAATTCCCCTTGCTTCCAATAGTTCTTTTAGCGTGGCCCGTTTCAAGTTGGTATAGTCTGTCCCCGTTCACTATCCGTTCGGGTATATTCACATACCCTTTCCTTTCGGTTCCATACGAAATAGCAAATTTCCCAAATGGCTGTAACTGCCGAACAACGGTCTGCTGTGAGGTTTGAATCCCGTCGCTGCCACCAATTGTGACGGACCCGCTGGCACTCCGACCGAGTACCTCCGCCAATCGATGCTCCTAGTGCTTGCCGAGGACTCCCAGCACTCCAACCGACACCATCAGCACTGCAGACTTATCCCATCCCCCAAGCATGAGCCAAGGCTTCAAGAAAGGATCAAGCAGGTCTGTGTAATGAGCACACAAAGCAACAGCCCTCATGCAGCAAAACAACTCCTCCTCAGAGGAAAACAAACTGACAGTTAAAGACAGACAGCGTTTTAAAATATGACAGTTATTAAGGGTTTTTAAACTGGTGTTCTAGGAGGGAGGGGAATAAAACAGTCAAACTAAGTCCATAAAACAGGGTTTTTCTTCACACTCTGCATCCGAAGTGCATAGCAAAACTGCAGATCCTTTGTCAGAGCATTTAAAGGGCCAGAACCAGTCTAATAAAATCCACTATGCTCAAATAACATACAGTTCAAATACAGGCAATAATCGATGCAAAAGTCTCTTGTGGCTGCTTCTGCCACAATATCATTGTGCAGTAGCAGGAAAGAGAATATCAACACTAGAGCCTGCGCTGCATGATCACACTGATCAGATTCCCTCCCTTCTCATTTTGAGCAAGGAAACTTTTTTTTTTTATTATCTAAAATACTTTTATTTACTTTCTATAAAACATAATTTAAACAGATTTAAAAATTGACACTGCTAAGTAGAGAACATTTTTATAATACTATGATTGTGCTTATAGTATTTCTGTTCACTAAGCCACTTTACCTCTAGTGTTTGACAAAGTCAGATAGAATAATCTTCTGGAATGTTCTCTTCACTTGACCAAGACCTCATACCTTTATTCCAAACTGGAGACTTATCTTGATGGATAACCTCATAGCTTATCAGTGTGCCGTCCACTTCCAGGCACTGGTGAGCAGTAAGTACACCAACAGATTCCGTAGCACTTTACAATATTATGAGAGGGGGATTTAACTATAAATAGGACAATTACAAGAAAACTTACGGGAACAATAGGTTGAAGAGGACCCTGCTCAATCGAGCTTACATTCTATAAGAGGTGGGGAGCTTGTCATCAAAAATTCACTTTTTATGTTTTAAAGGTTTATTACATTAAATGAAACTTAATGATTTTTTTTTTTTAATTCTTTATTTATTTCATTTTCAAGTAAAAAATGTTCGGGTAAAGGGTACAGAAGATAAAAAAGGGAAGGGGTAGGGGGTTAGCATGTTGCGATATTCCCGTTGCATTTAGTCAAACACATGGTCTATTGTGTCTATATACCCCCAGTCTCGGGGCAACCCTGTTGTGGCTGAAGTCCGCTTCGGGGGGGGTCCCGCCCTGTAGGCTATCTGTGGTAGTCAGTGATTCGGGATGCGCCCATGGTTGGTATTGGTAAGGCCGGGCCTAAAGTCAACGTCAGACGGGCTGGGCCCATCCCAAAATTCTGGTCCCGTACTGGGGTTCCCCTTGCGTGTAGACTCACTGTTGGGCGGATCTACTTGGATTTGTTTGGCGTGCGGTCAAGGGGGTCTCCACCGCTTTATCCCCTGATGAGGGGGGCAGGCGGGAGGAACATCTGGGCTGGAGGGTGGTGTAGATCTTAGGATGGTCGGGTATCCCGCCCCATTTCTGCGCTTCCGCCCCGGCCGAGTCCCCGGCACTTGTAGGTGAAGGGGGGGTCCAAGGTAGAGTGATCATGTCGCTGAGAGGGACACTGGGGCTTGTGTGAGGGTCATGGGATGCAATCTCTGGGGGACTGAGTAGTGTAGGGTGGGATTGGCTCAACCCCCGCCCGGGGTTCACCGGCGGGTAGCGCCCTACATCGTGTCTCTTTCTAGACCGTGTTTGGGTAGTCTCCTGGGGGCAGTGGCGTACACATGACCCATGGGGCTCCGGTGCGAAAATTGATCCGTGGGCCCCCGCCAGGGCCGGGCCGCAACACATGGCGGTGGGCACCTGGTCACAGGGGTTACAGGGCTGCGACCCCTGCGACCGCGGTATGTACGCCAGTGCATGCAGATGCACACACACTTAAAGGACCACTCTAGGCACCCAGACCACTTGAGTAATGCTTTCCTATGGGCGGTTTGAATGCGTGCGCGGTCGCATTCGGAGCTGAGAGGCTGAGGATCCCCAGCGCCAAGGGAGTCCGGCGCTGGAGAAAGGTAAGTGCTGAAGACACACACACACACACACACACTTACAGACGCATACACACTAGCTAACAGACACACACATTTACTGACAGAGACACAGTCAGCGACAGACATACATACACACTCACTTACAAAACATACACTCTCATTGACAAACACACACTCACTAACAGACATCAAACAGACTCACTAACACACACACTCAGTAAGACACACACAGTAACACACTCACTGACACTCACTAGCAGACACACACACTCACACTCACTCTAACACTCACTAGCAGACACACACACTAACACTCACTAGCAGACACACTCTAACACTCACACACACTAACACTCACTAGCAGACACACACACTAACACACACACACACTCACACTAACACTCACTCTAACACTCACACACACTAACACTCACTAGCAGACACACACACTAACACTCACACACACACACTAACACACACACTAACACTCATTCACTCTAACACTCACACTAACACACTAACACTCACTCTAACACTCACTCACTCTAACACTCACACACACACACTCAAACACTAACACTAGTTTTTTGTTTAAAATTTAATCCCCCCAGCCTCCTTACCTTTTGGAGTGCTGGGGGGATTACCTGGGGTCCAGTGGTGCTGCTGGGCTCCTGGGCGGGCAGTCTGGGTGGCCGGTCGGGCAGACAGGCGGGCGCGCGAGGGAGCACTCAGTGCTTCCTCTTCAGCTTCCTCGCGCGCCGCGTAGGGATGCCGGAGCCGGAAGATGACGTCATCTTCCGGCTCCGGTATCAGTGCGGTGCGCGAGGGAGCTGAAGAGGAAGCACTGAGTGCTCCCTCGCGCGCCCGCCTGCCTGCCCGACCGGCCACCTGGGGTCAGCAGGGCTGGCCCTGGGCGTACATACCGGGTCGCAGGAGCGGCCGGGCCCCCAGGTGGTGCGACCCTGGTATGTACGCCACTGCCTGGGGGTCAGGATCCTCCACTCTCCACGGGCCAGGGCAGGAAGCACCGTTCCGGATTATAGCCCCGTGAGCCCCTTCCGGTCCGTGGTCGTTCCTACGGGGCCGTCGCAGCCAACCTCTGATAGCTGGTGTCCCACAAATTCCATGTCCTGTGAAATGCCGTGTACGAATCATGCATCTGCGCAGTTAGTTCGTCTAAGTCTCGCGTTTCTTTTATTTTGCGGATGACGGTCTCAATCCCGGGGGTACGTGGGTCTGCCCAAAGTTCCGCAATTGCTCTACGTGCCGCTAGGGTTATGCGTGCCACTAGTTTATTCTCTTGTTTCGTAAGTGAGTCCAGGGGTTTATTGAGTAGCATGGTCCAAGGCTGTGCTGTAATGGGTTGACCCACCACCCGTTCGATCAAGCTCTGCACCTCGGTCCAGATCTGCTTAATTTTGGGACACGTCCACCAACAGTGAAGGTAGGTGCCCCGTCCTCCGCATAGCTTCCAGCACTCGTCCGAGGGCTTCCTTCCCATTTGATGCAGCCTGTGCGGTGTCAAGTACCAACGAAATAGCGTCTTATAGGCTTGCTCCTTGTACGTAACGCATGTCGTAAGGGAGTTTGTGGCGTCCCAAATCTTGGACCAGTCGGCCGTGTCCTCTGGGGGGCCGATGTCTCTCTCCCACGCTGTGATATAAGTAAGGTTCACTTGGGAAGCGTGCGTGGTAAGCGTTGTGTATATATCTGAGATCTGGCCGCGGCGGAGCGGTGCATCAAAGCACTGCTTTTCGAACATTGTTGGTGAAGAGACCCCCGCCTGCTTGATCATTGGCTGTTGTGCGAAGTCTCGCAGTTGGATATAGCGGAAGAAATCACCCGTGGTTAGAGCGTCTGCATCCGGTATTTCGGAGAATTTGACTATGTCCCCCTGTCGGTAAAGGTGTAAGAGTCTAGAGATGTCTCTCTGGTCAAATGCAGCGAAGTGTTTAGCTACCATACCCGGTGGGAACAATTTATTCCGATAGATCGGTGTCACCGGTGAGAGGAAGGAAGAAAGGTCATACCTAGCGTAATGTTTGTCCCAAAGGGCCAAAGCGTGCGTGATTGCTGGAGAGGTGGGCGGTGGGAGGGGTCTGTATTTCAGTGGTACCCACATATAGGACGACGGGAGGTCTCAGCCCATGACATCATGTTCCAGGTCCACCCATCGTTTGGTTCCTGGTGGCAGGTGCCATTGCTGGATGTGGGCTAGTTGTGCTGCGAGGTAATATTGCATCAGGTTAGGGAGCCCCAGTCCTCCCGTGAGCCTGGGGACATACATCGTGGATCTGCGAATTCTGGGTCTCCGGGACTTCCAGATGAATCTATCAATTGCCGTCTGTAAACGCTTGAAGTCCTGTCGCTGTAGTGGGATTGGTAAAGTTTGAAAGAGGTAGAGAAACCTCGGTAGAAGAGTCATTTTAATTGTGGCCACTCTGCCCAACCAAGATATGCCCAGTTTGTCCCATCTTCGCAGATCTTGATGCGCTGTCTTTAGTAAGGGCGTGTAGTTGACGTTGTAAAAGGCTTCCAGATTCGTAGTTAATTGGACGCCCAAGTATGTGAGGGAGGTGGTGGTGATGCGGAAGGGGAATATTCGTTTCAGAGGGGCGATTTGGGTTGGGGTCATCGCTATCGGCATCACGATGGATTTTGACAGATTGATTTTATATCCCGAGAGGGTGGAATATTCTGCAATTAGGGCTAGCGTTGCCTGGAGGGATTGCATGGGGTCCGTCAGTGTGAGGAGTACGTCGTCCGCGTATGCCGCTGCCGTGTACGACTCCCCACGTATTTGGACACCCCGGATTCCCGGGTGTAGACGGATTGCCTGTAGGAGTGGTTCCAAGGAGATCGCGAACAGGAGGGGAGAGAGGGGACAGCCCTGTCTAGTCCCGTTCGCGATGGGGAACGTCTGTGTCGCGGTGTTCGGCAGCAGGAGTCGTCCAGTAGGGTGGTCGTACAAGGCAGTGAGTACGTTTAGGAACCCGTCCGGGAACCCCTGATGGCTCAGCACCCTGAACAGGTAGGGCCAGAGAAGGCGATCAAAAGCCTTCTCTGCATCCAAGGAGAGCGCAACCGCATGTTCCGGTGTTGGGCGTACCAGATAGTATTGTAGGCCCTCCTCGTGTTATCGGCCGCCTGTCTCTTGGGAATGAAGCCAACCTGGTCAGGGTGAATCAGTTTTGGCAGGAAAGCATTGAGACGATTGGCTAGCACTTTCGTAATAATTTTTAAGTCAGTATTGAGGAGCGAGATAGGGCGGTAGTGTCCCGGTTCCAGAAGTTCCTTGCCCGGTTTGGGCAGGAGGCACACGTCGGCTCCCAGCATGTCTGGGGGGAGCACTTGTCCTTGTAGGAGCGAGTTAAACATGTTGCAGAAGTGTGGAATGAGTGTCTCTTGGAACGTTTTGTAGTATAGAGTTGTGAAGCCATCCGGACCCGGACTCTTTAGGGGTTTGAGAGACTTGAGAATAAGTACGAGTTCCCTAGCATCGACAGGGGCTTCTAGCACCTCTTTGGCCCTCAATGAAAGGGCTGGCAGGCCAAGGGGATCCAGGAACCGCGTGATGGCGTCCTGCCGTTCCGATTGATTCGCTTGAGAGAGCGGGTCATGGTTATAGAGATTGGTATAGTAGTGCACGAATTCCATCGCTATTTGTTCCGGGTCATGGGTAATTTCTCCCGAGCGGGTCCGTATCTTCGAAATCCTCTTGGCTTCTTGACGTTTCCTTAGACAATGTGCCAGAAGTGAGTCGGCTTTATTGCCTTTCTCATAGAACCTCTGTTTCGTCCACATAAGGTGCTTGGCCACATCGGTGTTGGACAGTTGTGCTATCCTTTCCCGAATATCCCTAATTTGGGGTAGGAGGTGTTCTGCTTGGGTCTGCTTGTGGCGTGATTCCAGCACCGCCAAATCCGCCAGCGCTGAGGTGAGATCTCTTAGGCGCTGTCGCTTTTGTGCCGAAGCTAATGCTATGAGTTTCCCGCGGATCACAGCTTTATGGGCTGCCCACACCGTCACCGGGGTCACCTCTGCCGAGGTATTGAGTTCAAAGTATGTTTTGATTTCCTCATTCACGATGTGGATGATGGCCTTGTCTCTGAGGATCCACGGATTGAGACGCCACCTCCATTCGCGAGACAGGCGTGGGATGCGGATGGTTAAAGATATCTCGGCATGATCAGACCATACTATATTACCAATGGTCGACTGTTCCGTCCAGGGTTGAATGGTCTGTGTCGTGAGGAAGCTATCAATCCTGGAGTAGGACCCGTGCGAGTGCGAGTAGAAGGTGTAGTTCCTGTCCGCCCGGTGGTGCGCCCTCCAGACGTCTATGAGTGCTGTGTTCTTGAGGAATGCCACATAGAGTTTGTCGTTTCTCGTTGCCGTCGGTGTCCGATCTAGCGGTGTCTTGTGGTCTGCAGCAGGAGATTGAGTTGCGTTGAAGTCGCCTCCAAATATGACGTGTTTGGTTGGTAGGCTGGCGACGTGGGCCCGCAGGGAGTCCCAGAATCCGGCGTCCGGGGCGTTAGGAGCATATATTGAGCAGATGGCCAATGTGGTGGTTCCCACCCGACCCATGAGGAATAGAAACCGTCCCCCAGGGTCTTTTATGGTTTGTATATCCGTCAGGGGGCATGAATTTCGAAGGAGGATGGCTACTCCCTTCGACTTTGGTGTGGGGGAGTTGGCTACGAAAAAGCGTTTGAAATGTCTGTTGACTAGTGGGAAGTGTCGTTTGTTCGTGAAGTGGGTTTCTTGGAGAAGAATGATTTCTGAACCGGTTCGGTTGGCCCATCTCATCATTCCATGTCTTTTGCCTGGCGTGTTCAGGCCTTTGATGTTTAGGGAAGTCAGGCGTAACTGGAGATTCGGCGCTGCCATTGTGGCACTGTCGCCCGCAATGGCAAGTGTAAGGGGTTGGGATGTAGTGTCGTGCTTCTGCCCTCTGGGGGAAAGCGGGTTAGTAGCGACCGCTTGTGTCGGTCGCCCACCTGCCTTGTGTGGGTATGGTGACCTCCAGAAGGATGGGGGGTCTCCCGGGGTAACTCGGCCGGCGCGGCCGCAACAGTTCCTGGCGGCGGGTCCCTGGGGAAGTGTGGGGGTAAACTGGACTTATCGAGTTGGCCAGTTACCAGTCGGGCGGGGAACACCTTCCCCTGTTCGGGTGTCCGTGCAGCGGTCCCGCAGGGGAAGAGTGAGTCACTGAGGGTGTTTGCAAGTCGTGGCGCGGCCTGCC